ATCTCGATCGTAAAAATCAGTGAAGTAGGTCGGGTTGAAAAGGACTGTTACAACTTATTGAATAACAAATATGGATAATGTTAAAACAGCATCGACATATCGCATGTTTACTACTGGATATAAGAAGGTAAAGAAATTTATAAAATCAATTACAACAATGAATATTGGCCGATACGCGGCAGAGCTGACCACAGGGGTATATGTCTGGGGGTAAATGTCCGGGGGTAGATGTCCGGGGATAGATGTCTGGGGGTAGATGTCCGGGGGTAGATGTCCGGGGGTAGATTTCCAGTCGCGGGCTGTTTCTCGAACGTGTATAAGCCCCGCCCCTCGTGACGTCAAAATGACGTAGGCGTTTTTTCATGGGGGTAAATATCCGGGGGTAGAAATCCGCTACCCCTCTGTGTGTGTGTGTGTGTGTGTGTGTGTGTGTGTGTGTCTGTGTGTCTGGATGTGTACAGAGCTAGGGACTACACCTGTGGTCCGATTTCAATGAAATTTGGTATGTAGGTTCTAATCCGTGGTATCTCCAGGCGTTTTTTTCGTTTTTTTGAAATTTTGATTTTTTATGGGGATTTTCCCATAAAAACCCATAAAAAATAGGATTTTCTCAAAAATGGCCCGAACGATTTTGATAAAAATTTAGTATGTTGTAGCCCTTTAAATTCTGAACAAAATGGTACAAATCCCATTTCTGTAAAAATTACGGTTCAAAAGTTATGGTAAATTATGTTATTTTCCCATAAAACCCCCATAAAATAACAAAAAATAGGATTTTAGACAAAAATCCGGTTTTGATTTAACAGAGTATGTTGTGATCCTTACAATTTTGATAGTTTTTGTCATTTTTTAGAAAATTTTATTTTTAATGGGGATTTTCCCATAAAACCCCATAAAAAACTGGAAAAATAGGATTTTCTCAAAAATGGCCCAAAAGATTTTGATAAAAATTTAGTATGTTATAGTCCTTTATATTCTAAACAAAATTATACAAATCCCATTTCTGTAAAAATTACAGTTCAAAAGTTATGGTAAATTATGTTATTTTCCCATAAAAATCCCCCATAAAATAACGGAAAATCGGATTTTCCCAAAATTGGCTAGAACGATTTTGATAAAAATTTAGTATGTTATAGTCCTTTAAATTCTGAAGAAAATTGTACAAATCCCATTTCCGTATATTTACTCTCACCGCTTACTCATGAGAAAGGTTGTTGACAATCTTATGGGAGAAAGTATGTGTCAGAATGCTGATACCGTTTATTTCATTATCAGCAAGTTTGGTTGGTTTGGTTCGGTTATGACAGTTTAATTTTATTATTAAGTCATTATAAAATTTTTATCGAGCAATTTCTAGTTTTATTTAATGAACATAATTTTTTTTTCTATTAATTAACTTTTTTTATATTATTTCATTATTAGCAAGTTTGGTTAGTTCGGTTAGGTTATGATAGTAATTTTATAATAAAAAAATTATAAAATTGAATTTGAGGCATTTATAATTTTATTTTATGAACAGAACTATTTTTGCGATTAGTAAACCTTCATTGCCAAAATATTCTCTACTAGAACGCTGTTCGCGGAGGAATTTTGAACTAATGCCTCAATCGTACCTCCCCTAAGTCAGACCCTGATTTTATTATTTTCTTTGATCTGTACTCAATTATATGTTCTCAACATTCAACTACTATATTTGTAAACAGTTCATATTTGTTTGTTTTGTTCATCTATATATATAAAAGGCAAAGCCTTCACCGACTCACTGACTGACTGACTGACTCACTCACTCATCACTAATTCTCTTACTTCACATTTACCTAGGAGGCTGAAATTTGGTACACTGATTCTTTAGGCATTAAATAAGAAAACTAAGCTGTTTTTATTCTGATCGTACTCTTGGGCTCCGCCCCAGTGGCTCTGGAGTTTCCCATGTTAACCTTATGAGTACTCATATTTAAACGGAATTAATGAATCTTAACAGCTGTTTCAATTAAACATGTTGGTTCTGTTCTATGATGTTCAATGGCATTAAAGTTACAAGGATTACCAACAGGGTGCAGCACTATTATTTCTTTTACATTTATGACAACAGCTAATTTGCAACCAAAAGGTGAGTGAGCGTAGCGAACAAACTTCAACCTGGAGGCGAGTTAGCGTAGCGAACGAGCTAACCGAAAGCAAGTGAGCGCAGCGAACGAGCTCCAACCTAAAATATATTTACGTTATTCCTTATGGTCGATTTAGGAGAAAATCATTTTATTTCATCCTTGTACGGTATGACGTTTTTCCGTAATCAATTTGAGACACCTTATGTGGGACACCATGTATATCATTATATCATAACATTAAACCTAAAATAATAGAAAAAAAAATGTCAAGACTAGGACCCATTGTCTCTAACATGAACTAGACATAAAACACAAGCTTTAGATTTTACAATGGGATGGCAAGTCTACATGTGTTGGTTAGGCTTTGACCAACCTGTTGTTGGTTTAGACTAACCAAAAAAAGTAAACTTCTCATCCCATTATAAATTTATAAATATTTTTTTATCATACAAGTTCATGTCCGGTGACACTGATTGCTAGTGTTGACAGAATTTTGTTACTATTATTTTAATGATTTGTGCGTTACTTTTTGGTTATATAACTAGGGGCGGAGTAATTGTTTATGATTAGATTGTTTTATTTGGTTAACCCATTTGCATTGGATGACGTACCAGTACGTCAAGTCAGCAATGCCCAGTATCACAGCTGACGTACTGGTACGTCAGAGGCTCGAGAACGCCTGCAGCCGCGAACCGTCTTCCCGCGCGTCAACCACCGCAGTAGAAGCTGTAGCTAATCTACCCCCTCCTCTCAGCCTTGAGAACCTTTTAAGCAGTTATGCAAAAGAAATTACTAAAAAACGTGCTGACTTTGAAGGTAACCTTCAAAGAGTTCTTGAAGGTTTGGCCCCTGAAGAAGCTCCAACCTCACAACTGTCTACTCAAGATGATATCAATGATGTTTATATCAAAATTCAAAGCATTATCGAATCTTTGAATCCAATAAATTGACGAACCACGTACCCCTTCTGCGCATAGCAAGCCGCAAGCATTAGCAAGGTTCAATTTTTACTCATGCATCAGTAAATATTAGGCTCCCGAAGCTGGAACTAAAACACTTTGATGGCAATCCATTACAACGGGTTAGTTTTATTTACCTCTTTGACTCTAGTGTACACAAAAATGTGAGTGTGTCTAATGTGGCCAAATTTCAGTACCTTTTAAGCGTTGTGTCGGGAGAACCCCTCAGCTTAATTAAATCCCTTAACATCACCACTGCGAACTACTTAGTTGCTTATCAACTCCTTCGTGACCGCTATCACAACACAAGGCGGCTCACCACACTGCATTTAAACCAGATAATGGACCTGCCGAACATTACTTTATATATATATATATAACACCTTTTAGATTGAAGTGTCGTCGTTGAAAGAATATAACACGCAACGATTATGTCTATTTAATGTAGCATCTACAACAAACCTATATCTTTTTTTATAAAAAATTGAATAAACAATTGTGCAGTGTATCGGCAGCTTTCGCCCAACAATAGACACACTATTGACAAATCAAGGAAACAAAATAGTACTATCGTATTAACACGTTGCCTACCAACCATCACACTCCTCTGTACCTATTATCTAGCACTACCAGGTAGTGATGTGTGAAAATGGTGGTAAATTTATTGCTCTGAAGTGTTAAACACAAAGACAGAAATTGAAACAGTCCTTTACCAATCCGTATATGTAACAAATTGTTTGAAAACAGATAACCATACAATCCATTACAGAGGTTATGTTAACGTGAGACTTAAAAAAATGACATTCTTGAAATCACACCGTACAGCCAATTGTTGTACTAACTAGCCACCATCAGTCCTTTAATTTTGACGAAGCATACATGTTATAATATTCCTTATAACATAGGACTAAACATTGTATCGTGTCACGTTGCCGAACTAGTCTTGTCTTTTAAACTAATTTAGAAAGTATAAAAAATCGGTATTCTTCACTTATTTAATGGAATGGTACTAATACGGTACTTCAAAGGATTAGCTCAATATTATTATTTGAAAAATTACTCATATAAAGTTAAACAAATAATGTTATTAACAATAATGTTGTGGTTCGGATTCCACTATGAATTGTAGGTCCCTTAGTTGCCATTAGCTGTTTGGGCTATTAATTAACAGCTGTGTCTAAGGAATGTCGGCCTTAGTCACTAACAAGACTACAAGATCCCGCCACTCATCCTACACTCATCTCCATTCATACTTGGCTTAAAATACCTACATAGTATGGTCGCCATTTCATAAGAAAGTATAAAGTAAAGTTAAACAAATAATGTTATTATCAAAGAAATTAGGTTTCTGATTTGGTTATTCAACATTTACATACAATATTTCGTTTTACCAAGTAAAATGGGTATAATTTATGCCATTTAGTGTTGCGGAATAAAACTCTGCATACGCCCGCTCCTGTTTTACGGTGAAGCGCCTCCTCGAGGTACGAGAGAGGGCGCGTACGGAGTTTTGTTCCGCAATAATGCAATTATACAAATACATGCAAACAAAATATATTTGATAATAATTATAAATGAAATAATTCATTTAAACATGTTTATAATTTTGTATGTATAAAATATAGTTTGACAATAGCGCATGAGGAAATAAACTCTGCTCTAAGGATAGGGCGCATGATAGGGCGCACGCGGAGTAAACCTCCGCAACACCACGTCACTGAATTGCAACTGACAACAAAATGAGGAGGAATTCGGGGGTAAAAATAGCTTAGGGGCATTCCCAGGATGAAGTGCGTGAAGTGTAGAGCCGGGCCCGACTGCAGACACCCATTATGCATATTTATATTAACAAAAACTACAAGTGCGGAGAAAAACTCCGCAAGCGCCCCCTCGAGGGTTAAAATGGCGTAATAGGATAATAATATGTTCATAGTTATTTGATACATATTATTTATTAAAAATGTATAAAACATATTTGTACACACTACAAGAGTTTTACTTACAGAACAGTATACTGTTCCTAGCATTCACAGAGTGCTGATGGAGAACAGGTACAGAGCATTTCAAATGCTTACAAAATCTCACTCACTCCTAGGCGAGGGGGTTTAGTTAATAATACAACTAATGTTTTGACGGGAATACATAGTAACTTTGAGATCAAAAATATGTTTTATTAGCCTGAAATCAATAGAATGAAGCTGCTGAGGTGCGGGATGTGGGGCTGGGGTGTGTCAAGGTCAATGACAAGACGTTAATGGCCGGACATTTTGCAAACAGCTATTACTACACAATAGCCACGAGCTTTTAAGGAGAAAAATTGTCTATTATTATTTAGCTGATTCAGCCGACGTTATTGGCCGAATCCTTTTAATTTATTTTATTATCATTTACTAAAAGAGTTACTGCACCAATCTATTTAAAGCTTTGTAAAAATTTCAATTTTTGTTACATTTTTGGCCCTAAAAACAGTTTTTACAATACTAAAAATATATTTATATTTGAGTTTCTCTGATACATACTTCCGACTATACAAGAAATAAAAGGTTTTTTTTCCAAATTCAGTCTCGACAAATAGTATCGGAAACAGCTAAATCAAAAGATATATTTTGCCCTTTTTTAGAGGGGTGGTGAAGACTCTCAAGACAATCATTACATGCAAGGAGAAACGAAATCAGGAGCTTTTGAATCAGTTGCACAAATTATCTTGAGTGTCTTATAAAAATGTCACCTTAGAACTAGAATAATATATACTTTGTAATTGGTTACAGGAACATTGAGACATGTTGACCAGTCAATTTGGTCTCTTCTCTTCTCATATTTATTGAGTTGGACTACTCTCTCCCTTAACACTGCTTTCACTGGAACAACTGGTCTCATCAGAAAATACAATCTCTTGATTACTCTGGCTGAATTCATAAATTTTCAAGGCTTCTTCTAACTCTTCTCTCATTTCAAATTCCTGATTTTCTTCATTGTCAATTTGTAATGTCGACTGATTATCACGGGAGGACTCAAGATATTTCTTTACAGATTCCAGTTCTTTAGGAGGCATCTCAGATATGTGTATAATATTTGAAATTAGTCGTCTTTTCTTCCAATTTCCCAAAACATCAGGTGATAAACCTTCTTTTTGATTCAGGCATAAATTGCAAAAACAGTTCAAAGCTGACAGAGTTCTAGTATCAGATCCAGAGCAGCCAGAAAAAATGTAACGATGTGTCAAAGAAACGCCAGCTTCTTGACGTTTCTTTAACAGTGTGTCTATAGCATTTTTCACAGCAGATGACAGTATGATTACAATTTCGCTGTTATGGTGTACAGTAATGACAAATGTACACCTTTCTGAAAATTTAAACAGGAGAGGCATCATCTTGTTGCACTTGACTAGATTTTGTATTGAGCTGTCAGGTCGTAACGCATATTCTATAACTGATATTTGTTCAATAGTCGTGAAATCCACTGGATTGGTCAAACACAAATAACACAATGTGTCAGCAGCAAGCTCGTGCCAGACAGCTTTGGCTTCATTTGAAATGGCTTTGCTACACAGTGCATCTGTCAGTTTAACTATGCTCTCATTTAATAGATTTTTTAATCTTTCTATGTTACTCACGTCAACTACAGGTTTCTTTTTCTTTGATTGTTTGTAGCTTACTTCTCTTTGAGTAGAGAGTTTGAGTTGTAGAGTGGGGTCAGACTTAAGTTCTTTTTCATACATGTTATTGAAAACGTCAAAAAAGTTTATTGCATCTTTTGCAGCATCCAAATCACCCCTGAACAAACATTCCCCTCTCCATACAAATGCACTTATTGAAATGTGTGAATATAATTGTTTATAAAGGTTAGTAGTTCCTGTGCCTGTGGCTTCTCTCAAAAAATAACGCAACGCTTCAAAAAGAGCATAGACACTGTCAGGTCTTAAAATATTTTCAAACTTAACCCCTTCTGAATTTCCAGTCACCCTACTATACAAGTGAACGATGAATCCCAGTCTTGTCAACAACACCAAACCTTCTTCTCTACACCTCTCATTGATAAACAGATATGATACAATCCACATTATCAACTCATCGTTTTTTGCAAGGGAACCAAATATTCCTTTCAATCTGTAGAAATAATGATCTTTTAACTTTTTGACCTCACTTTTCTTTAAATGGCTCAACATTGCCTGACTTTTCATTAACAAATTCTTTTCCGGCTCTTGTACCTTTGTCTCTGAGACATCCTTAAACATACAGCATTCATTATGATGAGTAAAACAATCAATATGAATAAAAGCAGCACATAGTGGGCATGGCAAAAATTTGCTTTTGTCAATAGTAAAGAAAGTGTGATGCCAGCCCCCTAAACATATTAAAAAACCAGTGTTAGCCTCAAGGACTCTACAATTATGCTTAAAATCACCAACTCTTGTTAAAAGAGTCAACATTTTTTCTTTTTTATGCTTTCCAAATGCAAGGGCACTTAGCACTTCTTTTTTTTTAGGGTGTTGTAAAACAAGATGTGTTTTCATATCAGCAACTAGGTCATTACAATAGAAGCAGCTATGCAATTTTTCAAGCAAAGTGGAGATCAATGTTGAAGGCTCTTTTTCTGAACTGGTTAACAAATCGTTAATGTTGACATTGATTTCTATATCATTCATTCTATATCTATCTTCTATACCTTTCTTTCTTTCTAGATCTTGAACGCGTACTATTTCAAAACCTTGATTAGCATCTTTTTTTGATTTCTCTGATATCTCAAACTTTGCCACTTGTCTAATTTCTTGTTCTTCATTTTTTGTTTGTCCTAGAGCAAAAAACAAATACAAAAAATGATTAGTTAAAACAAATAGACATCATGATATTCTAGCAAGTAAAAGTTATAAAAACTTTACATCTCATGCATCATCATATTATAGACATTAAAACTATCCACCAATCAAACCAATATTCAGTATAATTTTTGTGTGTTTTACACATGGCATCTATATTATTTACACGCTACATGAAACTTTGTAAAGAAAAAGGCTTTTTGTTTTACGATTTAACCCTACATATTATATACCGTACCAAAATGTTTGTCTACGCATGTAGATTTGCAAACTGACCTTTTATTTCTGAAAAAGTCCCTTGGGCTCTGCCCCAGTGGTTTTTAAAGTTCCCATATTATCCTTATGAAGAACATATTTGTTTACATTATGATCAGCTGGATAATTTAATTGCTGTTAATATTTTAGTTTCAATTTATATTTAAGGAAACTGTGCTACAAACATTTACTGACTTGGTTAAAATGAATTATTTACTATTTGAATTTGGGTTAGCAAAGGAAAAAAAGCGAGAAAGCCTGGACAATTAGATATACTTAATAAACCTGCCGCAGCAAACCTGCAGACTAAGAGAATTTCCATACATTACAAATCGTTCCATACATTACAAATTGTCAGATTTATTTCCTATTTAAATATAATTAATTTTAATGAGTACTTAAGTTTGCTGCAACAGGGAAGGTATTGAGGTGTGTTTTTTTTATGAAATGTTGATAGCTTAGTATGAAATAAACAAAATTGACAAATGTTATTAAAATATATCCATAAACAAGCAAACTACAAGTTAATTTAATCTCCATAAAAATTACATGTGAGAATTTTAAATTTTACAAAATTTTTTGAATTATCTCCATAATTGTTAGACATACAACAACGCTTCAATATACAGGGTGGCTGAAAAGTAACTTGCACCCCCTCTTAACTTTTCAACCATTTGAGATATTTGAAATCTGTTTGCGGCAACCTTCTTAGATATGAGGGGCTACAATAATTATGGTCAATTTTGAAAATGTTGCCCTTAGGGGTAGTGGGGGTAGGGGGTAGCTCAAAATTTTCAAATGACAAGTATAGTCGAGTTTGGTATCATTTTACAGGTCTTGACGAAACATAAAAATTGACATAAAGAAAACCAAAATCGGCCCACTAATAACAAAATGGCCTCCTAAAACGTTTCAAATCCAAATAACCATGAGGGTGGCTGAAAATAACTTGCACACCCTTTAACTTTTGAACTATTTGAGATATTTGAAATCGGTTTGCGGCAGCTTGTTTGGATATAAAGGGCTACAATAAATATCGTCAGTTTTGAAAATTTTGCCTTTAGGGGTAGCTGGGGTAGGGGGTAGCTTGAATTTTTCAAATAGTAAGTATAGTCGAGTTTGGTATCATTTTGCAGGTCTTAACGAAACATAACAATTAACATAAAGAAAATATAAATCGGACCATTAATAACAAAATGGCAGTTCAAAATTACTTTTAATAACCTTTGTCTTAACCATTTTTAGTTGCCATTTTGTTGTTAATGGTTTGATTTCTATTTTCTTTATGTTAATTGTTATGTTTTGTCAAGACCTGTAAAATGATACCAAACTCGACTATACTTACTATTTGAAAAAATTCAAGCTACCCCCTACCCCAGCTACACCTAAGGGCAACATTTTCAAAATTGACCATAATTATTGTAGCCCCTCATATCTAAGAAGGTTGCCGCAAACAGATTTCAAATATCTCAAATGGTTGAAAAGTTAAGGGGGGTGCAAGTTACTTTTCAGCCACCCTGTATGACCTATGGGGAGCGAGCTGGCGTAGTGGTTAGAGCGCGGGACTTCAGTCCCTGAGGTCCCGGGTTCGATCCCCGCCAAGTCACCAATGGATTTTATCTAAGTGATAATGCCGCAACCCCTAGGTTTAGCCTGAAGTAATGTGAAAAACAATCCCAGGCTCGTGCCTAGCGTCCTTAGGACAAAAAAAATATATATATATATGACCTATGTCCCTACAAGCCTAGTATTACATTATCTTTGGCTGTTGCTCCCTGTGTTCTTGATTGGGTAAGATGTTTGTGTCACCCTGTGCTTTTCACCAGCTTATGTGGCATCTTGAGGGGTCCAATTCAATTCAATTCTTCTTAACTTATCTTTTTATCACTAACACTATTTTTCCAAATATAGACTTTAATGTTAGTAAAAAAAGACCGAAATGAATAGGGTGACACAAACATCATACCTACTCAAGAACACAGGCAACAATAACAAAGATTATCTAAGGTTATTCAAGTTCTTGTAACTTGAATAGGAACAAAATACATGACTATTAAATTAAGTTGTATTTTAAAATAAAAACAAAACACTAGGTGTACAATGCAGTTTTCTGCTTGCAATATCGAGCGGAGCTACTATATCAATCTAATACCTTTCCAAAGTCAATGCTACATCTGTTTCTTGTAAATGAGATATATACTTGCAGTATCCAATGTCAATGGTATATTTGGTTCACATAAATGGAATGTATATTTGCAGTATCTAAAGTAAATTATAAGTCTGGTTCAAGTAAATGAAATGTCTACTTGCAGGAACCAAAGTTTATGTTTCATCTGGTTCTCATAAATTAAATGTTTACTTGCAGTATCCAATGTCAATGATATATTTGGTTCGCCTAAATAGAATGCCTATTTGCAGTATCCAAAGCCAATGTAGCTGGTACACTCATTTTGGTTCACATAAATAGAATTGCTATTTGGAGTATTTAAAGTCAATGGTCCATAAGCCTAATTCCGGTGACCCAAATTATTAATGTAGTAAATAATGATCAATGATATTAAACTGTTTGTTCTTCCCTTTTCTTTGTATGGTATTTCTAACTAGGTGAAACCCGTCGAAATCGACGGTTACTTTCAAGGCTTACGTTAATTCATCTAACTGCGATAAATTGGGTGAAATATACATATTTTGAGCATTTAGCATTGTTTAAAGAGTAATAAGTGTAAAAACAATAATTATATTAATTGCGTTAGTTGCCAAATTTGGTTGATCATTCAATGATTAAAATATTCCCCATATCGTACGTCATAGGAGTTATTAAAAAGTGTTATATAATATAGTCTATACTATTATAAAGAAGAGGTGGTGTCTGTGTGTGTGCATGTGTGTTTGTATGAGGTAATCTCAAAAACTACTGAACCGACTGGGCTCAAATTGCACACAAATGAAGCTACAGCTCCGAGGATACATATAGAACTATTCCCGCTTCGATATTGTCCTAGGGCTCTGCCCCGTGGGCTTTCAAAAATTTGAGGTGAGAGATTTAAAAGTAAATATTGATTGATGGTATCCATGGTAACAAAGAACAAACCTACAAAGTTTAAAAATGTAAACAAGCAGAACTAACTGTCAGTATGTTTTATGGTATATCTTCCTTTGGAAGAACGTTTAAATAGTATTAAAATCGTATTGGTGGATCTTTTGTAGTTAAACACTTCCGTGATTTCATCAGTGTTATACGATTTTATTTCAAAAGAAAATATTTTTCGGGAAGACATATTCTAACCTCAAAGGGAGGTATATCCGTTACAGTGTAAGTTTGATTTTTCCTTCGTCAGGTCACGTCAGTTCATATCGTACTTCTGTGCCAATGAGTGAACCCTCTAGCATAGTTTTGAGAAATTGATTGTGGGGTTACTGATAAAGCTGGAATTCCTTGACATGGAGGATGTCAGTTAGTTATCTCAGCCTCATCAATAACATAAAGTTGTCAATATAATCTCTCTACGGAATGTTATGTGTAGTGGAATACTTGAAGTGAAGTTGCTTTTTATTCTTGAACTGTTAGGGGCCTCCTTGTTCATATGGTCTTGTGGCTTCATTGGCAACAAATAATGCAAATGACAAAGCAATGGGACATTTCCAAAAAGCAAAAATACTGTAAATTGGCTGTCACGTGTATATTGACGTTTACATATTGTTAATCAACGTATCTTATAAAGGATTATGTGATCTAGTTTAAAAGGAACATGACCTTTCTGTCATGATAGTAGCTGCTTAATGTTAATATCTGCTTAAATAGTATTAGCCTACTCATATTGTCCTATTTTTTACAGTCAAAATGTTGTGTTATTTTCAATAATGTTACCAAACCAGTGCGCCAAAGTCCGTAATATAGGCAGGTGCAAATAATTTGTCAAGATGGGCACCATTTTAGGCAAGGTTCTATGTTTGGATTTTATTAGACATGATAAGAGCAGATATTTCCACATAAATATTTTATATGTGTAGAATAATATGATAAAATGTAAAGAATTGCTGTGACGAAAAGGAATTTCCACTGATTTCGTAATCAAATCAAATCAAATCAAATCAAATCAAAATGTCTTTATTTCGTAAAAGTAATCATTTTGACAGTTTTTACAAAATACAGTATCAGATTGCCATAAGAATATAACTGAGTACTTGAACTAAACGAAATGAATCCCACATGGGAGAACCCGTGCGTGGGAGTGAGTCATTCTGTACTTTAATATGAAAGAGAAAAAAAAAAATTTATACGTAATAAGAAACAAAACAAAATACTTCTATCCACTGGCATGATTCCAAAGCGCTAGCGGAATTTTGGCAAATCACATTGGAACATAGATAAAATGATATCAGGTTGACTCGTTGACTTTCCCCTACCATTAACCCCCCAAAACGCCCCCCTCCCCCCCCCTCAACACACACACACACACACACACACACACTCACACAGACACGCGTGCAAACACAAACACACGCTGTATCAGCTGTATCACCTATTGTCTGTATATGGAAACTAATAATCTATTAGCTCCATCCCTCCCAATGAGTTTTAGCCAGTGAACAATGTGTTTTTTGTACGTTGTAATTGAGTGTCTGTCATAGTCTCGTAAGTCTAGTGGAAGGTTAGAGTAAATGATGTGTGCAACGTAATAGCAATTTGTTGTAGAAAATGTCTTTGTAAGTCTGGGTA